TTCTTGCTCAGTGATCAAGTTGCCTTATGTAATAGAACAAGACCTAACACTGTTTTTTCCTAATATCTAATATTTATTTTTTGTTTGTTCTTATAAAACTACCTAACATATTTAGAAATTCAAAGGAAAGCAGTTTTAGCAACTGCTTATTCCCTCTACTTATCTCACTTAAATTATAAGGAGACACTGTTGGTAACCTACTGCCTCCATCCATATGGAGGTCTGTGAACTTCAGCATGTAAGAGGCTCTTAGATAAATCACTTTAGGGGATAGCATCTTTCTTGCAGACATCTCCTCCCAGGCTACAAGCATCCAAAATACATACACACCAGCCATTCAATTTAATTTTTCTGCAGAGGCTATGAGCCATGATTTGGGCACTCTGGCTATCTTTGTCTTGCTACCAACTCTCAATAATACTAATGATATCCAATTTCTTTTCACAAATGGGAATGTGTAATTCCTCTTGTTTATGGCCCAAGCTTCTCATGCTCTTAAAAAGACTATTAAAGAATTGCTCTTCTTTAAACCCCTCAGTGCCTTAGCTCTTTGCATGACTGTAACCTTAAGTTTAAGCAACATGATTTGGGGCAACTTATTGTGTTAGTGTCTGTTAATTCACCATCAATTGCATGCTATTTTTAAATCCTATGGGTCATTTTAGGAGGTAACTCCCCAGAAGTTGGGCTAGAGACATAGACCCAAGTCAACTCATGTACCTTCCAGCCTTCCTCTGCTACTTCTGGTGTGCTGACACCTGCAGCTCTGCAATGCCGACATGTTAGGGGTGTAAAACATTCCCTCTCTCAGTTAGATATGGTGGTGTGGAGAATCTCATCCAAAGCTTTTCTTAGATGTGCTTTCCTCCCTTACCTATATCACATAATACTGAACTCCAGAGGTCATCTCCTCTTCCAAAGAAAGCTCTTCTGTATGTCCATACAGCATAGTGATATATACCTATTACATCAAAGTTATTAACAGCACTGGTTTTGGTGACCACAGGTTGTGCAATCCACTGTGGTAGCACATATGAAATGCCTCCAATTCTATGAGTAACATCATTTCTCTAGGATGTAAAGGATTGCACCTAGCTTTCACTCCACTAACGCATGCTATGGGCAACCCACTTTATCATGATTCCAACTTGCAGCACCAACAGAGGTCTGGAAGACCAAATATTCGTTTTCTAATACACATACCCTGATGGATAGCTCCACCCTCCCCCAAGCACTGTTAATCCAGGGCTCGCACTGAAATAAACATGCTTCATGTTGGCTGTTTTGCTTTCACCAGTGGGTATTCCTCAGGCAGTTCTGCACAGCCTTGGGATGAGCTGCAGGGATTAGCTCCGAGCAGCCCTCAGGGATATAGTGTCAACTGTTCTCAATTTTGGTCTGCAGAGGCAAACTGACAAGTGCAGCTAAGCCTGATAACAAAGATCATGCCAGAAAGGTGCCTGATGCAGTGCTGTATCCCCCTCTGTTCCCTTGGCACCTGGCAGGCTATTTAAACTCTTTCTCCTATCCACAGACAAACTGTGGGACACATCATGCTCGCATGAAAACAGCCTCGCAGTCTTCATATGGTAAATCATGAGCAAGTCCTTGCAAAGTACCATGTGGGCTGAAGAGTCCAGCTCTCAATGTGGGGAGAATGGCATCCTGCATGTTTTTGCACAACCACCAAGATGGAGTATTTGCACTTCAAGGTAGCAGCAGGATAAATCCTCTCTTGGCTGTCTAAGGTAAACAAACATTATCTTCAGCGGGAGAGATTTGCAGGTAATCAGTTCAGTGTGCGCTCTCTCGGAGCAGCGCTGTGGCCCTGGACAAATGTAATCATTAGGTACATAATTAAAGAGTATGGATGGAAGTAGGGAGCTTAGATTTTCTCTGTATGTGAAACTTATCCACCTGCAATGGAAAGACTGTGTCTGTCGCTCAAAAAAATTCTGGAAAGGCAGAAAAAAATTCAACACATATCCCTGAGAATGATTAGGGAATATGATAACACATTTAAGAACAACTGATTCTAGATGCTTCAGATATCTATCCTGTCAAGTTGCAGGAATTACTTGGTTATGTTCTAAAAAATTCCTACCTGCTCAAAAAGCCTGAGCAGAATTCACGCTCTTATCTGGCAGTCAAATACATCAAAGAGCAGATGGCTAGAACCTGAGGCTGGGAAAAATGAGAGTGGAAAACCAGTGCAGTTTTAAACAACATTTATACTTAATCACAGGTAAATTGGATTCTCCATGACAGGAAGACTTTGCAGGAAAGGGATAGGGCTTAGTTTCACTAATAATTCAAAAAAAAGTTATCTCAGGGCAGCCCTGTGCCCTTGACTATTGCTATGGGAATCCCACGCTGAAGAAACTCTGCCATGCTCCCCCTCTTATTCACCCCAGGAGGGCAGGCATACTGGGGCACATGGAGGCCATTCCACAAGGCAATGCACATCTGCAAGAAGATGCTAAGATGGCTTCAGGGTCCTGCCCTGCAACATTTAGCTGGTATGACAGAGGATGCTGCCTGTCCCACCTGCATGCCCTCTGCTTATCTGTATCATCAAAGCAAGAGCTCAAGGGACTGGGAAGGTCTAATTCCCAGTGCCACAGCTCATTGATTCAAGAGCTAATGCAAACCACAATTGATTGTGCAAGTAATTAATAAGTCAGAGCGATAAGTGCAGCGCTGCAGAGAGGCTGAAGGCAGGTCAAGCTGTGACCCTGCTGGAAGACTCCAGATAGAGGAAGGAAATCTTCCCCGTATGAATCACCTGAGTTTGTGCATCAGAGTCTTTAATTCACAATAATTTAATTCTCTGAGGCATAAACTAGAGATCTACAGCCACTTAAAACATCTGAGTGAGAGCATCCAGGCATGCTATGAATTTTGCTCACTGTCTTCACAACTACACTTCAATTTCTGCTTCTCATGCAGATGGAGACCCAGAGCCAAAAAACTGCTGTTCAAACTCAGCCTCAAGCATACTCCCAAGGACAGGTTTGGCTCTATGTTGTCTTGATGTTTTGACCAGAAGGTGCTTCTAAGCAGCTCTATGTGCAGCTCCCTCCTGCTCAACTGATGGCATCTTTTACCAGTCTTGCTGTGAGAGGGGCATGTTCCCCAAAATACTGTTTTTGAGAGTCGATGTAAAGTGCTTGCAGGTCTCATTTGGACCTAACACTGCTTTATGCAGGGAATTGTGTAGTTGCTGTAGGTGCATAGCAGTGTTCTAGCTGAAATAAGAACTCCAGTTCCTTGCAGCTGAGTAGTATATAAACATTGAATGCACCCGGTTTTAAAAATGGAGTGTCTTCAACGAGGTCATAAGTACTTATACTACTTCTCCATAATACTAAAAAGGCAGCGAGGTTCAGAAATATATTTTAATCATTAAGTGAGAATTGCAGTAGTAGATTCATGCACCTAAACCCAAGCTGGGTTTTAAGAATAACATGCCTTTTGTCTTTTATTCAAAGCCAATTAATATTTATACTTTATAGAAAGCTACAACTAAGCTTTAAGATCAATGAAATCTTTCTGATTTAGATCTGTAACTGCTTAAATTACCCTTATCCTGTCCCACAGCACTGCTGCTTTTAAGTGCTGTTTTTAAGTGCTGTAAGAACAGCACTTCTCTATGCATTCAGTTATAGGGTGACGGTAATGACATTTTTTACTCCAGTAGAATTTCATCAAGCTAATAAATATTACTATACATTTACATCTACTTCAGAGATTTCAGCTGAATATTCAGCTATTTATTTTCAAGAAAAATGGTTTCTTCTCCACGCAGAAATTATCATAGCTCAAGAGAGCCTGATCTCTACCAGTCAGGAATTTACTCTCATATGAGTAAATCAGCTCCTGCATTAATTTAATTATAACTTCTGTCTGTTCTAATCTGATCCTTTGTAGAAGAGAAGAAATGGAAGTGAACGAGGGATATCGCATTGGAAATTTTAGCTACATCTAGAATGCAATCAGCGGGCTGTGTTAGACAACTATGGCCAGACTCAGCTGTGCTTTCTATAGAAAGTAGTTGATGGCTTCCAAGAAGAGGCAAAATGATTTTACCCATCCTCCCTGCAGCAGTGAATAGGTAATCCCACCAGTGTTGCTGGCCCATCATCTCCAGCCTCTTCCATAGCAGACCTGTAGCTCTGACTGGACAGCTAGAGATATGATCTGTACCACATCCATGCTTCTGCAGCTTGCACCCCTAGCAATGATTTGCCATGCAGCAAAGGGCATGTTGCTCACCTCCCCGTAGCTGAGGACCTGCTGTCTGACATTTCCAAAGGGGCTCCCTGCACTGGTGCAGCAGTTGCCAAGCACAAACCAGTGTGGCATAGGCTCACCTTGCCCCTTCCACACGATAACCCATTTATCTCAGCCTGCTGTTAATAAGCCTTCACAGCTCAAGAAGCAAGCATCTTTGGAAACAACAGCTTAGACTTTGTCCTGATTTCACTCCAGCTCCCTGCTGACAGATAGTGCAAGCAAGCTCTTATATCTTGTCTCACTTTTCTGATTAAAAGTATTATCTTTATGTGAGGCTAGAATTTAAGGCATCAGATTGGACTCCAGCTGTAGGTAAGTGACAGTGTTTGCTAGATAAGTATCCTGAATGCTTTGCCAAGGGTTTGGTCTTCTGAAACAAACTGTAATGATACCATAAATAAAAAATGGCACGCAGGAGGGCTCAAACTGACTTTCAGCTTTAGCACAGTGATAAAAAGGCATTGCCTTTTACCTAGGATACAAGAAACCTTCCTGCACAGGGTTATCCAGAAAATAATCCTATAAACACGCACAATTAAAATAAAAGGGGGGGGGGAAAAAACCAAAGAGCTGTGCAACAACAGATTTCCCAGGTAAAGCACAGATAAAAATGCATATGCAAAGCACCCTGTCATGATAAAACACAGGATCTCATTGATCACTTCAAACCATAATCCTCAAGCAAATACAAATCTTTTTCTTACCTCTAAAAATAGAGCTGGATCTTTAACCACATTGGAGGAGTAGATAATAACCATCAAGAACCCACGGAGGCTCAGCTACCAGCATGAAGATTTTCCTCTAGTTGAGAAAAAGCACAGATTTAGCTTTCCAAGCATAAATGGGAAACAGCATAAGGGAAATCAGCGTTTGCTGAGGGGAATATTTTTTTCTAGGTGGGATAATGATAGTCCTTTCAGGCTCTGTCACATACATAATTGGTTCTTTTTTTTCATTAATGAATCTCTATCTCTGGCTCACTGAACTAGACCACACGAACAAAGGTGATCCAACAAAAAAAATAATACATGATTAAAAATCATGCATTTCTATGGAAGTATAAGAGAAGGAAAGCTGGCCTGCAGAAGAAAGGCCTTCTCTCCCATACATCCATAGAAATGAATGATTTCACTAATGTAAAGTGAGGTCTACTACCGTTAAACCTTGTCAGTGAGATCAGAAACAGGGCCCTGCTGTCTGCTCCTTAAAGTACATTATTTTTTGTTAGATCACCTTTGTTCATAACACGGCCATTGAAAATTTAATGTTCTTACATATATCACTGTCAGACTTTATTGCACATTCACAGAGGAAAGTAATTCCATCAAGTGATAGACTATGAAGGCTACTAAATATAGATTTATTGGAAATTCCAGTTGAAGATAAGTGAATCCTTCCTGCCAGCTGGAATGGAGAGCTACTCAAGATATTTTCTTACCTATCTTTCTTGATAAAGAGAAAAAGACGTATGTTGACGTATGTTCTAAAATCAGATTATCACTGCAGTATCTATAAGGTTATTTTTAAGTATCCAGTGATTGTCTTAGCTCTGGAACAAAAGACATTTTAGTCCGTAGACTAAGCAATTGGCCAGAGTACTGAATAAAGTAAGTTGTTAGGAATACAAAAGACAAAAAAACTCCCTTTGCAACAAGGTCCTGTTCCAACATCTCATATTCAGAACACAGTTCCCAGGCCAAAACTCAACGTCTGGTGATCAGCAAGGTGATGCAGGGCACAAGAAGACAACCACAGACCTGCACTATCAGAGAATCCACACAAGTGCAAGAATCATGGACTGCCATGGGGGCAGCTGGGGTGTCCATTGTGCAATCTCTTGGAAGAAAGGTATGCTCTTGCTGACCCAGAATAAAGTCACCAGCAAGCCAAGTTGCTTTTGTCTCCTTTTCTCGCTGCAAACCAGAAAGATTACAGTGGGGCACAAGGAGGCTGCAGCAGACCTGCTGACAGGGGCTTGGTGGTCAGGGAAAGGGCTGCTGTCACAGCCTGCTGCACCACACAGCCTGGTGCTCCATCTTTTGCCATATTAGGGCTGGAGTTATAGCCAAATCCTGGCTGTGGATCAAAGCACCTAATGCTGGGTGCGTAGCTGGGGTCATCTCCTTTACTCATCATTCCCTAAAGGCTGCCTTGGGCAACATGGATCTTAGTAGGTTCGAACCATGACAGATGTAGGAACAAAAAGTACCCCTCATCCAGCAGCATCACTCACAGGCTCTGGTCTAAAAAGTCATTCAGTCATAACACTCCTCCATCGATAACTACTTGTATCAAGATCATGAAACTGAGATTATACATTGATTTATATAAATAGAGAAGTAATTTTAGAGTACTTCAAGTTTTCTTGGGAATATGATTCTTTGCCTCCCTCCCACTGAGCTGTCTATTCCATAGCTCTTATTGTCTACTATTTTCTAGTCTGAAAATGTTGTAACATAGGATTTATTCTGTTTAATTTCTAGGAGCTAAAATAATTAAGGTTTCTTTTATTATTATTTCATTCAGTTTTCATCAACATTCTGGAATACTATCTGAGTGAATCTACCTCAGATTTTTTTCCTGTTTAAGTTAATTGGCTTAATTTGAACTAACAACACATTGGTAAAGGAGCGGGTGAAGTCTCTACGTCGCGATTCCACACCAATTCCAGTAATGCCAGTGGTTTATCCTGAGGATCAGCCTTAGGCAGCAAATGTTCCTACACAAACACACCACTTGAAGAATGAACTTTGTTGCCATTGCAGTAGGCTCCAAAAGTACTTTCATGGCTGGTATATAACAAAAAGTCATTTCACTATATTTGCTCTATTTCACATCTCTCAACTTCTTTTAGCTTTACCCTGAGCTGTTGTATTTCTATGGGAATAGCAAATCCATCCCAAACACAGCACCGTTCTTTTGAATCACTACAGCAACAGGATCTCTAAAAGCACTCATTTCCTAGCACAGCTCACCAACTAAGCCCAGCTGGTACCTTCCTGGTAATATTACCGGTTTAAGAGACAGAATAGTTGTGTCAACAAAGTTAAGGGTGATGCCCTTTTCTATTTAAAAGTCAGAGTGCTCAGTACCCCATTAAAGCAGAACTGAGTCTCAAACAGGTTGTGATAATATCTAAAGTGCTCTGGTTGCTCAATGATATGGAGCCATCCTACAATTGCAGCTCTTTTAGTAGGTCCAGGGATAGTATTTAGCATGCAAGAAAGACAAGCATGTCAGGAGGGAGCACATCTTCCTGCTTGGAGATACTCAAAACTTCTATGGACATGGTTACGAACAACCTCTTTTAGGAAACCCTGCTTGAGCAGAGGGATTGGAACAGATGACCTCCAGACATGCCTTTCAGTGTCAACTCTTGTGTGGTTCTTTGAAGAGATAGATGCAGATGGCTTAGATATCGTGTACCCATCAGAGAGAGAAATGCATAAGAATCACAGAATGGTTTGTGTAGGAAGGGACCTTAAACAACACCTAGTTCCAAGCCCCTTGCTATAGATAGGGACACAATATATAATAAGTATCAATTTAGCACGCAAAATATAGTAGATTACACCAGTGTAACATTAGTTAGGCTAATTGAAGTTTGGATACCCAGGAATGAATAGAAAATGTAAGCAGAGGTCAACTGGGAGTTTTCTACCAGCAAACAAGAAAAAGACTGGTTAAATCTATACAAACCATTTTTACCTTAGTAGTGTTACTTAAAAGATTATTTCTGATTATTTTAGAGATGAATATATCTTTGCATTAGTTATTAAGAAACATAAGGAAAGGCCAGGGAAGAACATTCAGCTACCCTTGGACCATGACTTATCACAGGTTCCTATTTGCAAATGCGCAGGCTCCCCAGAAGGTGAATATTCATACTCCTTGGGTTTTAACTTTCCATTTTCCCTTTACACTTATGTTCCCCCTCTTGTAGCATCCCCACTACAACTCACTGCAGACGCTCATCATCACAGCAACACAGGACTGTGCCATGTTATACAGAACAGCACTGCTCACTGCTTACCTCCTGTGCTGCATAATTAGCTGGTTACATGAAATCCTTCCCATCTGTTACCATGACAGCCCAGACATCTTGGGAAGGCTTCCATGAATTTTTGCACTCCCACAAAATGGGGTCAAATAACAATTATTTCAGTGAATGACATCTAGTGTACACCTGGAGACGGCACCATTTCCAAAAGCACTCAATGAGAGTTAAGCTCAGTGGAGAGATAAAGATAGAATCTACTGCTGAGAGAGCAAACAAATTACACAGCACATGTGTAGGTCAAGTAGCTGAAAGGCTGCCTTGGCTGCCAGATTTCACATCCACCGATTGGCTGGGGGGGACATGCAGTAGCCACCAAATCTGACCTACACTCAGTCAGTGTCAGCTCAGATCGGAGAACTGGCAGGAGTCTGGAAAAGGAAAACAAATGTTGCTGCTGCCTGACTCTGTCAAAAGGGGTTTTATTATAGCGGTTTTTATCTTGGGAAGATGTGATCTGAGAAAAGCAGACAATGCTTAGAACTAATTTCAAAGAGAAAATGACAGACACATGCAAATGCTTGAAGTGAGGGGAGGGGAAGGGGACTGAGCCTGTGAGAGGCAGAAATGATCAGAGGGCTCAAACATGCAATGGCAGTGCAGATAAGGGCAACAAGAGGTTAAAAGCAATATGAGTGTAGGTAGCCTACCAAGATAAGAAGGAAAGCAACATAGCAAATTTCCTCAATCAGATTATTAAAAGGATAGCATCTCCTTGCATGATGAAGGACCTTGCTGTCACAGAGTCATAGATGATCCCAAGTCAGAAGGCGCATAAAGCAGATGGGACAATCCCTTCCCTTGCCCGCTGGCAGTGCTGTCCCTGTCCCTTTGGGCTGCTAGGGCACTGCTTGCTCATGTTTAACTTGCCATCAGTCAGAATGTCTAGCTATTCAGATCAGATAATTTCATAGAATCATATTATAGAATGGCTTGGGTTAGAAGTGACATCAAGAATCATCAGCTCCTTCAGCCTATCTTCACAGGAGGGGTGTTCAAGCCCTCTAAGCATCTTCATGGCCTTCTTTGGACCCTATCCAAAAGCTCCACACTTTTCCTGTATGCAGTACTCCAGATGGGGCCTCATGAGGGCAGAGTATAGGAAGACTATCCCCTCCCTCGCCCTGTTGGACACCCCTCTTCTGATGGAACCCAGGATACCATTGGCCTTCTGGACTGCAACCCACACAACAGATCCTTGTGGTGTGGTTTACTGCCTCCTTTTCCTACTTTCTTTTTGAGAGAGATGGAGACCTGTTGTGGTCTCAGAAAGGCATCCTTAAAGAATAACTAGTTTTGTTCCACTCCTTTGTCTCTAAGAAATTCTTCACAGGATATGTTGTTCAGCAATTCCTTAAACAACCTGAAGTTTACTCTCTTGAAGTTCAGGGTCTCAACTATTGTCCTCACAAACAAGGCAAACCAGTACACCTTTCAAGCTGAGCTGTGCCAGACTGTGCGGGCAGGTGTTCAGGAGAGCCTCCAACAATCCCTGCTCTGCATCAAGGTTGCTGTCCCCATGTTCCCTTCTCCTTTGTGAGCTGGACTAGGAAAGGCAAGAGCACGTGACACTGTTTTTTCCTAAGTCTTTCATGTGTGCTAGACATTAAATGTAACCAGCCTTAGAAGGTTGCTGAGCCAGGGCTTTGGTCTGCAGAACCTAGCCAGGTATGCAGAAGTTAGGAGCCTCAGGACTGAAGCTCACTCAGCTCACAGCATTGCAAGCAGCCAAATGTGGCACACTAC